GCCACCCGCCTTCACCTTTGAACCCTGGACCTTACAGAGATGCCCAGATCCGGCCCCCAGCCCGCTACTTCCTCAGACCCAACAGTTCGAGCCCTCGGCCCCCTTCCTTGAAATTTAAAAGTACAGTCCCCTCCTTTCACCTTGAAGTTCGAGGAGGCATATCTTCTGGGACCACACAGAAGCCAAGGGACAGCGAGTTTTCGGACCCAAATCTGGGACAGAAGTAGGAAAGGTGGTGAGGCCGAGAGAGAGAGACAGCAGAAGGCACGTCCTCTGCCACCTCTTAGACCTGGGAGGTTCCTCTGGACTACCCTTGTCCCAGGCCTAGTGCACTCTGGGTAGTGTGTGTGGTCTGTCCCCGATTGGCATGCAGAAGCAGATCCTGAAGGAAGCCAAGTCCCCTCCCCGCCCCTAGGAGAGCCATCCCAGGAGCTGAATCAGCTCCCATTCCCTCCTGCAGGCTGCAGGCTGCGGCAAGGTCACACACAGGCTCCGCCCACCCCAGGGAACTTTGGCCCCAACCCTGAGACCGACTCAGACAGGAGACAACGAGGGACGGACGGCATGCGGGTGAGTGAAGGCCTTCCTGGGGATTAGGAAAGTGGGGGATCTATTAAATAATGCTCCCCTGAGACCCAAGATCTGGACCCCCGAGCCTCCTCCTCCTTCAGACCCGGGAGTCCAGGCCCTCAGCCCCCTCCCTCAGACCCAGGACTACAGATCCCCAGCCCCTCCTCTCTCAGACCTAGGAGTCCAAGTTCATGTTCTTTCGGGGTACTAGATCTACTGAACTCAGATTACCTGAAGGCCCCAGCCCCATATCTTGGGTGCCAGTCATCAGTGGACACCGTGCAGATGAACACTTCCCTGCGGCCCTGCTTGAGGCCAGCAAGGGAGAGCAGGGCTGGCCGTGTACAGCGGCTGGCCTGTCCCCCCCAGTGTTCTTAGATCTCAAAGTGCTTCTTTCCTCTGCCCGGTAGGAAGGCAGCTGAGTCATGAGGCTGAGAGAGAAAGCCAGCCTAGCCTGGTCCTGCCGTGTAAGCTGACAGCCATCAGTGAGAACAGATGTGAACGGCAGCGGTGAGTCACGGGGAGAGGGGGGCTGTGGGGCTGCAATGCCCTGAATTCTGGGTGATGAAGTCTGAGCAGCAGCCCTGGAGAGCGAGCGGGGCCAAGGGCTTCTGGCATGATCCGCCTGCGGGTCTGAAACATGGCCTCTAGGTGGCGCTGTTTAGCCTGCACGAGCCTGTGGGCGGCCATGCTTGTGTCCAGAAGGAAACAGGACACCCACAGTACAGGGAGTATGGACACACAAGGCGGTGGAGACAGCCAGCAGGTGGGCAAGAAAGCAGCCCTCGGAAGGAGCCAGGATGGAAAAAATAAATAAAAGAGGAAGAGAGGGAAGAACAAGCATGAGAAAAACCAACAGAGACAGAGCAAAAGCAAACAGAAACTTTAAAGAACAGAAAACAAGACTAAGAGATGTCACAATAGAGATGATCGTAAGCATGGAGACAGCGAGGCAAGAGATAACAAAGAGAGAGACTCGGGGAACGTGAAGCCTGGAGAAATCGGGAAAAGGTACTGAGAGCGGGATCAGGAGCAGCCAGGAGGGAGAGGAGTTCAAAAACGAAACGGGCGAAGGCCAGACTTCAGGCAACACAGCACACGGTGAACGGCAGAGCCGGGGAAATGAGGAAGGACTGTGAGCGGCAGAGCGATGCCAAGACCTGCGGGGAAATGGTCTCAGGGACTTAGAGACCGACGTCCGGGAGAGAGAGGGGCAGAAACACACACCCACAAGGCAGAGAAGGTGCCAGGCACGGTGTCCGGGAGATCTGCGCTGGCCACAGAGTCCCTGTCACACTGGGAGAAGCTGCCTTCATCCTCCCAGGACATCTCTCTAAGGCCAAGGGGGTCTCACTTCAGCTGAGGGAAGGTGCCCGGTCATCCGACACCCCAAGCCATAGGGACTGGCCCGAAGGAGACCCTCAGATGGTAGATGGGTTTTGGGGACAAAGAGAGTAAAAGGATTGGGGCTGAATTAAGAAATGAGAAAGGCTGGGGCGGGGGGCGGGGTGCACGGGGCAGGGCTCTGTAACACTGTGGAGCCTCCGCTGTGCCTCATTACAGCTCAGGACTGTCCTCCCAACGTCACCCAGGAGTGTCACCATCAAAGCCCAGGATCATCTGTGTCATAGTTTAGGACCGTCCTTCACACTTCAGGACTGCCCCCACATTACTGCCCAGGAAGAGTCCCCATCATAGTGCACTGCTGTCCTTGTCTCGGCCCGGAACTGTCCCTATCAGAGCCCCAAACTGTCCCTGTCACCCAGGACTCGCCCATCACAGACCAGAACTGTCATAATTATGAGAGACAATCCCATACTCCCCATGCCGCAACCCGATTGTTCCTGTTGCTGCCCACAGCTGTCCTGTCACAATCCCCAGGAGTGTCATCATCAAAGCCCAGTTTGCCTCAGTCGCAACCCAGGCCTGTCTTCATCAGTCACTGGGACCCCAGCAAAGTAAAAAGTCTGCCCTGCCATCTATCCATCAAGCTGAGATAAGGAACAAGGTGCAAGTTAACAAGAAACATTTCTTCCAAGGTTATGCTCTGGTTATGGAGGGTTGTAATGACCTTCTTGGAGTTACTACTCTCTCCTTCCTCATGGAGAAACCTCATTCTCTAAAATCACAGACTCTCCGAAACTCCGCCGGCTGACATCACATCAGTAGGAATGGACTGTCTCACTTGCTTGGAGTGTCTCTGTCACTTTTGACAGTGAGAAGCTGCCTCAATTCCCAGCCCAGGTGCGCGGCTTCAGATAAGGGTTTTGTTTGGGAGACAGACACAACAGTCCACGTCTACGTTAACCTTTAGTTTCAAGAAAACAGGGCCTCGAGTTCCATTCGCAGCCCAGACGTGAGGATGAGCTGTGCGCCTTCATCCGACCCCCTTCCCGAAAGGTCCTGGGAGCCTTATCTCCGCGCCCCCACCAGCTGACTGTCCCCCCCAAGTCCCCCACCCAGCCCTGTGCCTCCCCCATTACTGTCCCCTCCTCCACGTTTCCC